TAAATGGTATATATGTGATATTAATGAGTGAAATTTTAAAAAAAACCATGTATTGTAGCAGGAACTTTAGGAGGAAAGAAAAAGCCATTGTGACTTTTATGAAATCAATGTACCCGGGAAATGAAAAAAAATCTATGGTGGGGAAACAACTTCTTACTTGGTTGACTGTGAGAAAAATACAAAGCAACAAAGACAACAAAGTTCAGTTACTCAGCTTCAAGAGAATAAAAATTATTTTTATATATTTGAAGGCAACTAAAATACAATAAAAATGAAAATTATTCTGAGGGATTCCAGTAATAGTTTAATTGTGAGAGATAGCATTATTTTGAAAGGTAAAGAATAAAAAAAAATAGTCCTAAAGACCTACTTTTAAGAAGTTTATAATCACACTCATAAAAAATAATTAGGCAAACTATATTACTCTTATTTTGGAAAGAACTTGTCCCAAACTCATTTGGTGGTATTACTTTACCTGAATTTTATTATTTCATTATGGACTACAAAAGGATAATGGAAACTTGGGTATTTTGAAGACTGGGCACTAAAAAATGATAACAAATTTCACAAAAGAGGAATTCAAATGGCTAGTGATTTATGAAAATGTCCTCAACAGCATCAGTAATTGGGGAAATTCAAGTTAAAACCATAATGAGATACTACTCCACACCCACCAGGCTGACAAAACTGAAAAGTCCTGACAATACCAAGTGTTATGAGGTGTGAAGCAATGGGACTCATACATGGCTAGTGTGAGTGTATCACTTTGGAAGACAATGTGCCATTATTCATTCAAGTTATCATACACACTCCCAATTATAGGCCAAACAGACACTGACACAGATTTGACAGAATACATATATATCTGAGTAAAGTTTAGTACAGCATTTCTAAAAACCCTAAATTGAACAACTCAGATGTCCATCAATAATAGAATGGCTAAACAAACTGTCATATATTGCTATAACATAACACTGTGATATGTAGCAATTAAAATGACCAAATTACAGTTGTATGAACAGCATATGGATTAGAACAATGTTGAACAAATATGGTGAGCACAACAAATTACATATTATATTGTTCTATTTACATAGAGTTCAAAAGAAAGGACAAAAATAAACAATATATTGTTTAGAGATGTATGCCTGTGATAAAACAATAAAGAAAAGCAAGGAAATGATTATCACAAAGTTAGAATAATGGCTACCTCTAGGAGGGGGGAAGACTTGTGTTCAAAGGGTCATGGGGTACTGGGGTGCTGGCAATACTCCATTTCTTGACCCAGTTGATTGCTTACCCTGTGACTTCTTTTATAATTACTCATTATATTATACAATTGCCTTATACATTTAAAGTATACTTCAAAATAAAATGCTCAAAGTATTTCATATATTACAAATGGCATTTCTAGAAAGAAAAAGAAATAGATGATTTAGCTTATGCAGTCTTTGACAGTAGAAATCAATGATGTGGGATAATAAAACACTGATTAGTTTTTCATAAGAGCTCACTTTCAAGAGTAGGAGGTATGAACCCTAGAAAAATATCCTTTTGTTATACTTTAACATAGTATGCAGATCTTTATCATAAATTGATGAACCAGGGAAAGAACTCTGTTACCTGAAACTTTGTATTTTTTTTTTTTTTTTGAATTAGCTATCTGTTTTCTCCTCTGGCTTAACAGGCAATATAAGGAACTAAAGAGATGCAGAGCAAGTTGGAAATGGATGAACTTCCTCCTCTCCAGTGGCCAGTTCCAGCTGTTTCCTTCTCTTTTCAGGCTCGTGGTGGGGTGGGTGGTTCTTGTCCAGTAACATTACTGCAGCTGCTACTTTATAAGTAGAAAGCTTAGGGTTCTCCTCAGTGCCAAATTCTCTACCTCAGTACTAAGGTTAGAAGGTAGAACCCCTGACAGTGCAAATAGACAAGGCCTTTGAAAAACCCACGTGGTGCACATTTTTCTGGAAGTGTCATCTATTGGGTTGCAAAGCTCTAATGTTTACACGCTTTCCATTCAAAGCCCACAAAGCTTAAACTATGAGGTATTCAGCTTTACAAAATTCCCTTAAACCTGTGTTTTACTCCTTTAATTTCTACCATTCCACTGCTTCGAGAGAGGAAGAGGGGCAAAACCAAGAAATATTTATTTTGCAACCCTATGAGGCCATCATTTACTTATCTGATTCCCTGAGAGTCTTATTTGGAAAAGCATAGCAGGGGAACTGGGTTGTGCAAAGACAGTCAAATGCGGGTAATTAAGGCGACATATTTAACCTAACTCTTGAGCAGTAGGGTCAGGTGCAACTTTGAGTCTTTCTCTGTGTTTGTGGCAACTTCTTCCTCCCCTCCTTTCCACCTTTTCTGGCAGAATTTTAATAAAAAATTAGCCCTTGGGCCCTGCAAGGTGGTGCACCCCTGTAATCCCTGCTGCTAGGAAGGCTGAGGCAGGAGGATCACAAGTTCAAAGTCAGCCTCAGCAATTTAGTGAGGCTATAAGCAACTTAGCAAGACTCTGTCTCCTGGGGATGTGGCTCAGTGGTTAAGAGGCTCTGGGTTCAATCCCCAGTACCAAAAACAAAACAAAACAAAACAACAACAACAAAAAAACAAAGATCTTGGATTTACCCATTTAGAAGTTTCCTTGGTCTACTGTTCGTATATGATGATGGCAGTAGTGGCAGAAACTCTGGGCTTCCCAAATTTGTCTATAATACACTTGCTCCTAGCCAAATGGAAAGACTTGTAATATATATCAYAGCTGCTTCTAGTGGAGGTGAGGTGTGCTAGGGTTCAGCTAGAGCTGTGGAATCTTTCCTTTCATCATTGCTGATGCTTTAACTCCTTACTACTCAGCAGGACAAGTTCGAGATAGAGTTCTGAGGATTCTGGTTCTTTTATCTTAAATTTTCTTTTCCTTGGGAACTACACTTTAAATTTCCCAAGTTTTTAACCAAGTTTACTGATCAGCATAATATCTGCAGGATAAGTTGCATTATAGTAGTAATATTTATTTCACAAAGGAAACACCGTTTGACTCTGATCTGAAACTCAGGGCAAAATTTTTTAATGACTGATGAACAACCAAGACCAGCTCTCCAAAAGTTCCTAACCCGGAGCAAGAATGATTCTTAAAAGTGAGACACTATTAAATTCTCCCCTTGCAAAAGTACAAAATCCCTCAACAGTCTCCCGGACCTTTCAATCCTCCTCTCCCCAGCCCCGGCAATTTGCTTCCTTTTTCACTGAAGACTCAAGTGGCGACACTATACTCAAGCCGCGTCCCAGTTTCCTTTCCTGGATGGAGCGGGAAGGGGAGGGGAAGGAAGGGATGGGGAAGAATGTGTTACAGTTCTCATCTCTACAAGGCACTGCAGTTTACAAAGCGCTTGCACTTCCATCATTTCCTCTGAGCTCCGCGAGTGCCACTCGAGAGAGGCATTCATTCATTCATCCCACTTTTGCTCGGCCTGACCACACGTTATCCGGTACTAGGTCTCACTCCACGCTACGGGAAAGGGTGGGGCGCTCGCTCGCTGGAGCAGGTGCTACGATCGGGCTGCAGGACAACTTCTCAAGACCAGTTCGTTTTTTTCAGGGACCTTCTGGAAATGCCTCACCTTCGGATGCTGCGCGCCGGAGTCTGGCCGCGCGGCCTGGGCCTCCTCTTTGCTCCCAAAGGAGCAGTCCCCACCTGCCCTGCAGGAAACCGCTACAGAGCAGGCTCTCCCCGCCGCCCTCGGGTCAGGGGTAAGATCAGGCAGCAGCTTAGGCTCGACTGGGCTCCTCCCCTTCCTCTCCTCAGTTCTGACGCGGTTGTAGAGGCGGTGGCGGCCGCGGCGGCGGCAGCAGCGAGTCCCGCGGCCCGAGGCGCACCCACCCGCTCGCGGATCCTTGACTTCCTCTTCCCTCCAAGCGTCATCAGAGCGCGCCAGAGTCGCCCAGGGCGGGGTAGTAAGAGAAGGGGAAAAAAAAGGCCCGCGGTGGAAGCCTCAGAGCGGAAAGAAAAGGGCGGGGGAAGGAGAGCTGTTGCTAGGTGACTTGCGTCATCAGTAGGCGCCGCTCTCCTCCCGCCCCTCTCTCTGGAGTGAGGCGAGAGCCCCGCACAGAGCGAGCGAGACAGCGAGCTGAGCTCCGGGCGCTACCGCCACCGCCGCCGAGAGAGTGAGAGCGAGGGAGCATCCAAGAGACCCAGCCCCCGTACACTGGCCGCCGTCAAGACCTCCGCCCCAACCTGGGCCAGCGGGAGCCGCGGCCACCCTTCTCCCCCCCTCACCTTCCCGGCCGGCAGCAGCGGCTGCACACGCCGGAGCGGGAGCCAGAGCCGGAGCCGGAGCCGGAGCCGGAGCCGGAGCCGGCGGCTAGGGGGCAGGGAGGCGGCTACCGCGGGCCGGGACTGACTGAGTAGCTGCTCCGCGGTGAGAGGACGCTGAGAAGGGGCTGGAATTTCTGCCTCGTCCCGGGGCGTGGGGAGAAGGACCCCCAAGGTGTAGGGAGGGGGGTCCCATCCGCAGCGACACATGCAGGAGCCGGGAGCGGGGGCGGCGCCGAGCGGAGCCGGCCGGGTCCCCTGCCTCGCCGCCACCTCGGCCACCCTCCCGGGGCCGTAGCATCTCGCCCGGGTGTGTATGAGCCGGGGCCCCAAGCTCAGCAGCCACCCCCCGCCCGGGGGGGCGGGGACCCCAATGTGAAGCGGCGGCTGGGGTGGCGGGGAGAGCAGGACCGGCGCCGCCGTCCCTTCCTTACCGTCCCCCTCCCCTCAGCCCCCTCGGGGGTCTTCTCCCTTGGCCAGTCGCCGGCCCCCCGGCTCCTCGGCAGGACTCCGGGAGTTCTAAGAGCCCCCTCCCCCGCCCCAGCCCCGAGGGCGGCGGGGCCGGGGGGGACCCGGGGGGCCGGCCGCAGCCTCCGCCCAGAGGAAACTTTACAAAAACAAAATTGTGACTGTCCCGGGACAAGTGGCCCTGGACGGGCTGAAGCCACAGCCTGAAGAGACCCAGGAAGAGGAAAAGAGGAGGTGAGCGGGGCCGCCGCCTCCTGCTCTTCCCCGGTAGCGCGGAAGAGACCCGGGTGGCCGCCTGGTTGAGCGACACTAGCACCGCTTCTTCCTCAGTTGCGCGACGGAGCCTTCCGCAGCTGCTGCCTCAGTCCGAAGGAGGAAGGGAACCAACCCACTTTCTCAGCGCCACGGCTCCTCTCTAAAGCGTGAGTGGCCGGGGAGAGGGAAATGAGGGCTAGAAAGTGGGAGCCTGCCGGCGCTTGGTTCTGGAGTTTCGCTGATGTTTTGCAGGAGGGCTGGGAGTGTATAGATGACAAGGTTTATAGCCCTTTATTTCTCAGCAGAGAGAAGGTGTATGTAGTTCTGGGTTTTGTAACCTTTTAACTTGCAGGAGTTGTGCAAGTATACAGGTTGCGCTTAGAGAAGTTCTTATCTCCAGAGTGGATACTTGCACCTTTCTAGCCAGTAATTGGCAAAAGGAAATAGAGGAAGCCAGAGCCTATGTGCACACAAAGGACATCTCTGTAATATACCTTTTCCTGGTACGATGGCTGTGATACAGCAGCTAGGGCAGCGCCGCAGTTTTTGTTTCTGGGAAACTCTCATGGATTTCCCAGTGGGAACCACTTACTCAGTGGAACCCTGAAAGGAAAATTTCTTGCCTTTCTTTGAGTCTTCGCGAAAGGAAGACTGATTATCATTTTAGTACCTGTTGGTACAGGAGGTTGTCTCCTTCTCATTTCCTGAGTTCAATTCCTGTGTGCAAAGAGGACACTAACAAATTTCTCTTGCTAAGAAATTTCGGAGTTCTTATGAATCACCTTACTTGGGAGGGACACCTATTGCATTAACCGTTTCATAAAAGTTGTAACATTTTCCCCTTTACTCAAATGCTTTAAAAAAAAAAAACTTGGGAGAATGGCTTTATCTTTAGTCTCCATCATTTTAGGAAAAACTATGGACACTTCATTCTATCAAGAATGACTTTTTCCTTGTATTATTTTAAGTTGAAGTTCTAGAACCAGTGACTTGTAGTTCAGGTATATTTTCAGAATGTCAAAAGGTGCATAAAATAATTAACATTTCATATATTTATGTGGACCTTAAAAATTAAACTTGTAGTGGAATTTTATATGGCATAGACAGTACTAAACTAAGAATTCTGGTCCATCTGCTCAACAAACTGTGGGCTCGCTCTCTGAAGAGATGCTTTCTGTGTAGGAATGAATGAATGTAAATAGATAGGGGTTACCTATCTATCCTAATTTCTTCATTCAGGATTGTGATTAAAGATTTAAAACTTTCTCAAACTTAATATTTGATCCTATATTTTTCCTCTTTTGAAGTAATGAGTTCTGCGAGTTTATTAGCTTCTGTATTATGGAATTATTCATATACTTATCTCAAATCAGTCCTCTATAAAATTCCAAGACACATTCAGAGTTTGTGTTTTGAGAAATGCTAGAACAAGTCTATCTTTTCCTGGTATTATAGATTTTAATTATTTCTCTTTACTGTCATCTTGCCCAACTCTTTCTGTTCTAGGCTACTTTCTTCCATTTCTTTGACCACTTTGCCCTCCTCTGGAACTTTACCAGTTTTTCCTTAAGATGCCTTGTTCTTATGCTTTTTACAAGGAACTTTAAATTCTTTTATGTTAAATGGGAACTGACCTGAAAAAATTGAACAGTGGATGTAAGGTTAGATTTAGAATCAAACAAATATTTTTTGGTCTGTTACTTTATTTTGTGACCTTGAGAAAGTTATGTATCCATTTTCCATAATGATGATGAAGAGCCATCTAGTCTTGCATAGGCTGCTTTTTGGGAAGGAGCGGAAGATGAACCCCAAACTGCTTACTAACAGTAGGACCTACTTTTATAAATTGGTTACAAATTAAGATGAGGTTTTATTGCATATTTGTGTAAAACTGAAAAAGTATTASAGTGTTCGTCTTTTACTTATGAGTGACAGAGGCAATCAAATACAAATGCACAAAACTTAGAAATTATGAGAATGGACAATATAATTAAGGCCACTATATGCCAGGTACCATGTTTAGTATCTTATATCTGTGAATGTATTTGTACAGTTTTCATGAAGAAAATGTTAGTTTTGAACTACACAAAACTAATTGGAGTGTCTGAGTCAAATCTGGGAAGGTCTCTTTCAGGAAGAAATGTGCTTGTGGAGACAAGATAAGGCTTTTGGACTTGGAAGGTATAAGGAGGGACAGATGTAGATATAAAGACCTTAGCTTGCTGGTAATACCTCCAGAGGGAGATTRTTGATTAGGGTTAAGGTGAATTCATGTTTGTGTAGGTGCATGGTTACAATGCAAAGAAGCAGTTGAGGGCAGTGTTCTTGAGAGGGTAGTTTCAGATGGTTGAGGAGAAATTACATTTTAGGCCAAAGGCAGCCTAACGTGCCTGGATTAGGATTTTGTTTTTCTAGGAAATGAACATTTTTATGCCATGGTTATGATGGCGCTATGCAGAAGGAGTGAAAAAGATGTATCCAGTGTCAGTATTGTGCTAGTGGTTTTTTATAAGAAAATAATTTGGAAACAGGGCAGTTGACTTTGTTTTGGATGTTAAATTTTGGGTTAAGAGTTAGATACTGATATAATTTCAAGACAGCGAAATAGTTTAACAGGTCATAATGCTGATAGTGTGGAGATGGGAGTAATTTTCAAAGCATTTAGGTTTCTGAGAGTGCTAATGGAAAGTAAAGAGCTGAAAAATGGGTGTTTTAATTTGTGGGGTGGTAGTGGGGATCTGTGTTCAGAGTAAGCAAAGACAATGAGAACTGAGAATGGATGAGTCTGTCTCTAAAAGAGATGTTTTAAAAGTAGATGAGTTGTAGTTGAAAAGAGGACCAGTCTTTAAATACATGGCTATCAGTTTAGTCCCAAGGTATATGATTCTGTATTTTTGAAGCAGCTACAAGTTTTTAGTAGATTATGTAGGTCCCTTGAGATTGAGTTCAGAAGAATATATAGGATTTCATAGTTAAGGAACTTAGAAAAAAAAGGACTGATTTGTTTCTTCAAATTTGTTTTTTTGAAAGTTTCCCCTGCATTATTATTAATCTTAACTTTGCTCTGACTACCATGAAGTGGGGCTAAAAATAGCTGACAGGGAAGGCTGCTTCCCTTGCTTGGAGTTGGTGTGCGTCTTTGTGTCCCATACAATGGAGGGGATATCCCTGTGTTGGCACAGCAATGCTGAAAATTTTTTATAACCTTTTTATAAAAAAACAAACAACTTGGCACTTAAAAATATTCAGACTTCTTTGTGGTTAACATTTGGTGTTGACTTTACCAAAGATTAAGGATTGTGAGTAGAAATATATACTCAAAACTTTCTTGTGTTTCTTAGTTTTGAATTCAGCACCTTCCTGGAGCCTCTTTGGCTTCTTTGGAGAGTATCAATTGGCAGGACCCTCTTGAGAAGAAATATTTATGCAGGGACCTATGGCTAAAATGATTCTAGGGTAAGGGTGTAGGGGTTGGAATATATGCCACCTGTTCCTCTCTCCATTCTCTACTTTTCATAGCATTACCTATGCAGATGAAGCTGTGCTGAGGTGGATTTTAAAAGGCTGTCTCTTTTCCCCATCCTTTCCTTTCCTTCCAGTCCTTCCTTTCCTTCCCTCCCTTCCTTTTTGGTGTTCTGGGGAGTGTGTGTGTGTGTGTGTGTGTGTGTGTGTGTGTGTGTTAAACCCAGGACCTTGCCACATGCGAGGCGAATGCTGTGCCACTGAATTACCTCCCAGCCCTTTTAAAAAATTTTATTTGGAGACTGGGTCTTTTTTTAGTTGCCCAGGCAATCAGTCTTCAAACCTGAGATCCTCTTGCTTTACCCTCCCCATATACTTGGGTTATAGGTGTGGGCCCTGAACGCTGCAAAAGATAGCCTTTCATGGTGAAGCTGATTTACTAATAAACACATTGGGAAAGGTAGGACTCTAATAGTAGAGTAACAGTTTCCATATACTTTGCCTTGGCAACTTTGGGATTAAAAGAGATGACTTAGAGAACCTCAAAGGCTTTGTCTTAGCACCAGATGACCCCAAAGTCTATGTGTAGGAGAGCATCAGCCTGTCTCATTGTACTTTTAGAGATGGTTCTTAGAGAAGTCTTGTGATTCTTCTCACATTGTGTAGAAGAAGGGTTGGCAGACTTTTTCTTTGCAAAGGATCAGTTAATATTTTAGGTTTTATGGGTCACTCTGTCATAATTCTCAGCTCTGTAGCAAGAAAGCAGCCATAGACAATATGGAAGTGAATGTGTGACTATGCTCCAATGAAATCTCATACATAAAAACAAGAAGTAGATTGGATTTGGCCTGTAGGTCTTACTTTACAGATCTTTGTATAGATGACTTCCAAATCTACCAACATAACATATGAGCTATGAGCTTTACACTACAGAGCTGAAACTGGCTATTTTAGGAGATCTCTATTTTCTAGATTAGATATCTTCCTGGTTGTCTTATTCTGCGTAAAGCATAGAGTCTACTGTTCAAAGTATGGTTGTCTTCCTAATGATGAAAACTACGAACTGAGGAACAGGGGTGATGCCATCTATAAAGGGATTCAGCTAAAAAAGTAGGGTCCTTCTGCATTGTATTCAAAGATGCTATAATTGGCCTATAATGATATACTGGTTTTGTATCATGGCCAAAGGTTATCTGTGAAGAAGCTTATGGGCATATCTTGAAAGGTTCTGAAAATAAATTGTAAAGCATTTACTTTGAATATAAAATTAAAAGCATTTATGGTTGGGTTGAATCAGACAAAAATATTAGTCAAATTATAAGAACATTAACGTTTAAAACTTCTATCTCTTAGAGTCTTAATCTCTTGGCATGACTAATTCACTGTGTGAAATTATTGGCTCCACAGTTATTTTTGCTTTGTTAATTTCAAGTATTATGTTTTAACAAGTCACTTAAATCATTTAAACGTGTACTTTAAACAGCTTTGCTTATTCTTAAGGATGAAGGTATCTTAAATGTATTGTATAGAAAGGACAATTCACTTTGTTTAATTTTTACATTATAGCTAATGTAAAAACATCTGTTTCATTTATCAACAAATACCTATATTGGGTGATGGTATATTTACTCTGGTTTCATAACTCTTAGGATTCCTCCGTTTATTGCAAGGAAGGAGACTACTATTGCAATAGAGATTTCTTTTT